GCCTCCTGAGTAGCTGGGATTACAGGCACGCGCCACCATGCTCAGCTAATTTTTTGTATTTTTAGTAGAGACGGGGTTTCACCATGTTGACCAGGTTGGTCTCGATCTCTTGACCTCGTGATCCACCCGCCTCGACCTCCCAAAGTGCTGGGATTACAGGCTTGAGCCACTGCGCCCGGCCAAAAAAAGTTTTTTTAATTGAAGCAGGGTCTCACTGTTGTTCAGGATGGCCTTAAATTCCTGTGCTCAGGTGATCTTCCTACCTCCACCTCCCAGGTTGCTGGGAGTACAGGTGTGCACCACTGTGCCTGGCTCTAAGGCACTTTCATACACTTTTTTGGGAGGTCTATGGTATAGGTAGGACAGGCATTATTCCCTTCTTTCAGTAGGAAAACTTGGGCTTCAGGGTGGTAATGTGTTTAGGGTTACATTGCTGATTAGTTATAGAGCTGTGGTTGAAATCAAGTGTCTTGACAGCTTGAGTATTTTTTTTCTACTGGAAACATTACTTTTTGAAGATAGACTAATGCATTTCAAAAACATTTACATCATTGAAATGTGCGGGGTCTAGGTTTAGAGTTATCAGATTTTTAATTTTTTCACAATTTTGAGGTATGTTTTTGATATTCTATTGAATATTCTTATTCTTTCTTTCTTTCTTTTATTTATTTATTTTTTTTTTGAGACAGGGTCTCACTCCATCACCCAGGCACGATCTTGCCTCACCACAATCTCTGCCTCCCAGGTTCAAATGATTCTCCTGTCTCAGCTTCCCAAGTAGCTGAGATCACAGGCGTGTGCCACCAAGGCTGGCTAATTTTTGCATTTTTCGTAGGGACAGAATTTAGCCATACTGGCTAGGTTGGTCTTGAACTCCTGGCCTTAAGTGATCTACCTGCCTCAGCCTCCCAAAGTGCTGCAATTACAGGTGTGAGCCACTGTGCCCAGCCTCTATTGAATATTCTTACTCTTTCATAGTTGGGTGTTTTGGAATGGTGGTGTGTAACAAACATACCTTATGTATCCTTATGTATGATTTATAAATTTATGCTGCTATGAAATTTTATAACTATAGTTATTTATAATTTAAAAATATATGCATTTTTGTATAAAATTTTTTACAAGCTTTGTGGCAGTTTTAAAATTTATTCTAAAATTAAATTGAACCCCCCTTTTTTTGGGGGGGAGATACAGCCTTGCTCTGTTGCCTAGGCTGGGGTGCAATGGTGCAATTTCTGCGTACTGCAACCTCTGCCTCTCGGGTTCAAGTGATTCTCCTGCCTTAGCCTTTCAAGTAGCTGGGATTATGGGTACCTGTCACCACGTCCAGCTAATTTTTTTATTTTTAGTAGAGATGGGGTTTCACCATATTGGGCAAGCTGGTCTTGAACTCCTGACCTCAGGTGATCTGCCCGCCTTGGCCTCCCAAAGTGCTGGGATTACAGGCGTGAGCCACCATGCCCGGCCTAAATTGAACACTTTTGAATAGATAATACATTTTCTAATTTAAACTACAAAACTACAGTACAAACATGTATTTTCAGAAGCTTGCTTGCACCTCTGCCACTCTATCCTTTTCTTTCTCCTACTCCTCTAGAAAGCATTTTTTTTGTAGTTTTAAAAAATCCTTTCAGTGTTGTTTTTTGCAAATACAACCAAATATATATCTATTACACAAAAGATAGTATACGATATATACTGGTCTGTACCTAATTTTTTGTTTTTCCCTTAATAGATCTTCAGGATCTCCCCTTATTGGATTATGGATATCTTCCTTCTTTTTTGGCTGCATTGAATTCCACTATCTTGGAAGTATCATTGGTTTTCCAACCAGTTGTTTCTGGACATTTCGAGTATTTCCAGTCTTTAGCTATTATAAGCAGTGCTTCAGGGCTTCAGGGATAAACTTGTAGCTGTAGGAGAGATTCCTAAAAGTCGGGCACTGGGCTAAAGGGTACATGCATTTGCCATTTCTGTTAGTAAATGGATTCTACTTAGTAGATATCTACTAATTCATGTATGTCTGTGTATATGTCTCTGCATGTGTGTGCGCGCGCATATAGATACATATATATACATATATATATATATATATGTATATATATAAATTTTTTTTTTTTGAGACAGGATCTGGCTCTGTTACGTAGGCTGGAGTGCAGTGGCATGATCTCAGCTCACTGCAGCCTCAGTCCTCCGGGCTCCAGTGATACTCCCACCTCAGCCTTTCTGGTAACTGGAACAATACATGTGTGCCCCTATGCCTGGCTGTTTTTTGTATTTTTTGTAGAGATGGGGTTCTGCCACATTGCCCAGGCTGGTCTTAAACTCCTGGATTCAAGTGCCTCCTCAGCCTCCCAGAGTGCTGGGATTATAGGCATGAGCCACCGCACCTGGCCTGTATTAATATATGGTAATAGAGATCTGCGTTGGTGGATATTTCCTAACTTTCTTCCATAGACGTTATTCTAGTTTACACTCCCACCACCCACTGGTAATACAGAGGGTGCCTTCATCCCCAAAGCCTAGCTAAGAGAGTGTATTGTTAAGCTTTGGGACTTTTACCAATCTGACACTTAAAAAATAGTATTTTAGTATGGTTTTAAATGGTAGCTCTCGTGTGAGTGAAGTTGAATGGTTTTCTTTCTTTCTTTCTTTTCTTTTTTTTTTTTTGAGATTAAGTTTCGCTCTTATTGCCCAGGCCTAGAGTGCAATGGCGCAATCTTGGCTCACTGCAACCTTGACCTCCCTGGTTCAAGCAATTCTCCTGCATCAGCCTCCCGAGTAGCTGGGATTACAGACATGTGCCACCACACACTGGCTAATTTTTGTATTTTTAGTAGAGACAGGATTTCACCATGTTGACCAGTCTGGTCTGGAACTTTGGACCTCGAGATCTGCCTGCCTTGGCTTCCCAAAGTGCTAGGAGGCATAAGCCACTGTGCCCAGCCACCTGGACATGTTTGAAGAACCCAGTACCTTAGGTTTATGGAGCTTTTATGTTTGGTCCAGACTACATTTCAGGGAAGCCACAAAGCAGAGTTTAAAGCCTTTTGAGCACTGAGCTGGTTGTTGACGCTAACAGGGCTGAGACTAGTGAAAAAAGTCATGTTGAGGCATCTGCTCATTTCCACAGTTCCAGTGTCTTCCTTGACAACTGCTTGTGCCCACTGTTTGCCCCCTTTGCCTATGTGTTAAAACTGCCTCTGTCTCAGAACAGTGTCCTTTTTTTTTTTTTTGGCACCCAGGCCAGAGTGTAGAGTGGCGTGATCTCAGCTCACCGCAACCTCTGCCTCCTAGGTTCAAGCTATTCTCTTGCCTCAGCCTCCCGAGTAGCTGGGTTATAGGTGTGTGCCACCACACCTGACTAATTTTGGCATTTTTAGTAGAGACAGGGTTTCACCATATTGGCCAGGCTGGTCTCGAACTCCTGACCTCGTGATCCGCCCGCCTTGGCCTTCCAAAGTGCTGGGATTACAGGCGTGAGCCACTGCAGTGTATTTTGAGGAATGATGGTCTCTTAAAAGGAAAACCAAAAGATAAGACCTAAGGCAAAGGAAATCGTAGTCTCAATGCAAAGATACAATCAGAACATTGCCTAAGGGGGAAAGAAATGTTATGATAGTGTTTGTATTTTAATTGCCTTTCCTTCTTTAGACCAATAGTAGTAACAGGTAACTTGGGTTGAATGCTTACTAAGTTCCAGGCAGTAGTCAAATAACTTTTAATATTTAATGCTCAGAAAAGTAAGGAAGAAATAAAAACTAAGAACTTGCTAGCACATCCAGAGTGTTTGTATTTCTTGAAAAGCTCATTA